GACAGACAAATTTCTGGCATCAATACGTCGAATAAGCCTGCGAACTTCTAAAGTAAGGGTTAGGCGTTAACGCGGTGATTTCCAATCTAAATAGTTTCCGCCTTTCACAGCACTCACCCTCACTCTGCGGATGTCGTTGGCCAAAGCGGACGTTCCTGAATTCCGGACACGAACGAAGATCCACCACCGAGGCCAGAAAGAGTTGAAAATAGGGCGGAACCGGCAATTCATCGCTCAGCCTTTGTATATCATCATCAGGCAAGGCTGAGGTTGACGGAATTGACGATAGTTGGTACGGATTATCCTGAAATAATTGGATCGATTTAGAATAGCTCGATGGATAAAGCATTTGTCCTTTAAAAACTTTACGCATAGTTTCCGTGTATTCCTTTTGAAACAAGCCATTCATAGCAAAAACTAACCTCATCCATCGATTCATAGCCGAAACTTGACGATCTTGATTTTTGATCGTCTGGCGAGGGCGATTCCGAGCCCAACTCCTCGGAGAAATCGCTGGTGGCCATGGGATCGGCGATTGAGTGGATGATGGTCGTCCGGAAGCAGGGCGGGGAATACATGATGATGTACTCTTCTTCAGTCATCTACTAATGCTGAAAATGTTTCGGTGTTTTGCTGGGAGGCTTCGAATGCCAGGTAGGAGGTTTGGTAATGGTCATAAGAGCGTTGCGGACATTTATATGCAAGAAAAAGTGTTTTCGGGCAAGGGTCGTTCTTATCGTAATTTGAGAGATCTCGATCGATTTTAGACACTGGTACTTATTATCGGGGGGAAGATCGATTTTGATAGCGTTTTTCGTCGAATTTTAGCTATATTTCAACTAACAAAATCATGTAAAAATCTTAAACTCGACGTTTTTGTCGAAAAATCTATTTTTGATAATTTTTTTTGAATTTTTACTTTAGGATACCAGGGAAACTGAGTGGAAACACTATCTCGATTCATATTATAAAAACGGGTCGTGCGAAAAAGCCTCCCCCCCGATAATGCGAAAGTACCTAGATAATTACAATTTTAGAAAAATCGATTCATTTTAACTTAGAAATTTTAGAAAAATTTAACCATATATTTCACGACGAATTCAATGGTCGACAGTTCAGGAAACTAGCAATAAATAGGAAAACAGTTTTAGTAGCTCAAAACCAGCCTGGAATTTGCAAAATGCACTTCCAAACCAAAACACTCAATAAGCGGACGAGGGACACGGACAAAAATTCCTTTCGGCAAATGAGTCAGCCGGCGCCAGATGGGCCATAAAAGGACTGAAAAAAAGAAGCGTGCCGACCGGATCGTCCAAATTCCAGATGGCCCTACTTGAATAGTGAAATGAGATACATAGAATTGTGCCATCTTTCGTGGGGGTAGATTCGTCGAGTACCACCCGAGCCCATCAATCGGCCGGGGTGGGGGTGGGTGTCGTTTTTGTGTTGATAATTTTGTTGACCGAGGTGGCGACACTGTTTGCGATTATATTTCGAGGCAAACACGAGAACCCGAGAACAGGACACACACACACACAAAAAAATGGAAGCTAGCTCTAGATAAGTTTGCAAAATGGTAATGAAAAGTAGATGTTTTGAGATCAACTTTCCACTTTTTATGGTATTGGACCGTTAACGGGGGTAGATACCCCTGGGGAGTGAACGGTCGTTTTGAGTATAGAAAATTCACAAAAATACCAACAATTTCGGGTGCTTTTTCATTAACGGGGGAATGCGAATTTCGATGTTTTCCGGGGGCTTGAAAGCGAGCAGCAAGTCCGGTAGTTTTTTCGTAGCCTCTAAAACCTAGCCCCCCCCCGCGCGAGAATCCCCTCCATACAACCCAAAAATTTACGATGGGCGATCGTCGATGGGAATATTGCGGTTTCAGGGGGTTGGGTTGGAGTGGGTGGCGGTCGAGCGAGCCGAGCGACTTTTATGGCCTTCGCGGATCACCCCTTAACATACTGACGCTTCACAGCCCGCTCGCCATTTTGCGATCCGTTTGCACTCGGGGGGTTGTTGCCAAAATAATGTTGGAAACTGGGGGTAGCACGGATAGGTTGTGGTTACATCGATTTAAGACAAAAATCGCGGTATATGACTTTCAAGAACTAGAAAAAGAAGGAAAACAAGACAAAGACCTCGACTTTATACTTTTTAGCGACCAAAAATTTGATAAATCCTACAGGACGCGACTTGTTAAAGTCATAGAGGAAATGAGGCACATTGTAAAAACACTAAAACCTGAGGAAAACTGTGGAATACAAGCGTTTATGGTTTTCAAAACTCAAAAAAGTATAAAGCCTAGGGAACTCGACTAGTCTTATAATGAATAAAAAGCTTTAAAACTTTCAAAAGCTTATAGAAGTAGAGTTGGAGGAGATCAAGCAGTAAGGTAATATCAATATCTATCAACTCTTAGCGCCGTAAGAAAAACCTAATAGTCAAAATGAAAATGAAATAAACTGTTTAAATCAAATCCCAGTGTTATTAAAGGTTTAAGAAAGACTTGATGCGCTGAAAAAGCGGGCTGATCATCGATACGTTCTGCCATCAGAAACTAAAGCCTAATAAAACGATAATAAAATAACCTTTATAGTATTATTATAAGCCCACAAACTTTGATGGAGCTTACAGGGGGGTAAACTGCAGCGAAGCAGGACAATATTTCCCTTTTAGCACCGATACCCCCCTGGGTGAATGGCGTGAAATCAGCTTTTGGGGGAGGGAGCGCAGCGCGAGGGGGGCGTTCGAGGCGCCTTTCAGTGCACGCTAGAAAAAGACTAGTCTTGGTAGGGGGTGGGGGGTAGATGCTGATCCGGGTCAATGGCCCTTCAACTAGGGCCCAAATAGACAGATAAATAGAGCCTAGTGTTTAAATGTAAATTTGCAAATCCTTGGAGAGGTTGAGTTTTTCGGGGCGCAGAATTTTGAAGCAGAAAAGTTTGCAAAGTGCGGATTTTGGAGGGCAAATTTGAATGGTGAATCAGATCGGGGGCCCCTGGTGGCTGAGAAGATTTGTCGGTGGCCGGGAGATTCCGGGAGGGCGATGGGGCAGAACGGAAATGGGGATCGGGAGGGAAGGAGGGGGCTACGATCACTCCAAAGAACACCTGAAAGGGCCACCGGAATGATCCGGAAACTCCGGAAATCCTAAGATTGTGGCTAAGTCTAAATAAAATTTATTAAATAGAATCCGTCTTTAGGAAAGTCGCGCATCTAGAAAAATCTGACTAAGTAGAAGAACAAAAGTCGTGTTTAGAAGAGCCTAAAAGAAGTTAGAGAGTATGTTTTTTAGCTCACTGCGTCGTTTGGAATCTTCCGTAGCTTACAATCATCCAGTAGATTCGGTTAACTTTCGTTGTGAAAGTAGTAAAACGAAAAAATACTGCTATCCTTTCACCCCCGGGCCACACCCTAACCTTACCGTCACAGATCACAAGCATAGATTACGGTCGGTGGGATGCTTTTGAGAAAAACAACGACACGGACAGCAGAATGGGTTTAATGGTTTTCACCTTGCCGGTTCCTTTAAACCCGTAAAAATTTGGACAAAACGTGGGAATTCCCGCAATGGTATTCTCAATGGCCATTGTCCCCCTCTACAACTCGGTTTTTCGGGCCGAAAAACGGCAGGGCCGCGGGGTAAAACACGAAGAGGTTATTTGCATAGAGGGGAGAGACCGCACCCATCTCTACGAGAGAGAGAGAGAGAGAGAGAGAGAGAGAGAGATGCAGTGAAAAGACAAGGTCGAAACAAGATGGTTCTGGGGTGTGTCACTCTATCCCTAAAAACGGATGTCCCACTACGCCTCTAGCGGATGGTACGCTAGCGGAGATAATTTCGGAGAGCATGATAGTCAAGGTAGAGAGAGCGCGAGAGAGACAGATGGAGTGTGAGAGAGAGCTAGTGAGAGACAGAGAGAGAGAGAGAGAGCGAGCGAGCGAGAGAGAGAAAGAGAGAGAGAGAGAGAGAGAGAGAGAGAGAAAGAGAGAGAGAGGGGGGGAAGCCAAGGCAACCTAGCAAAGATCCTTGAGGATTGCCTCTCAAGATAGCGTCGTTAGGACAGTCTCGACCTTGGCCTTGAAATCCACGAATTTCTTGTCGCATCCCCTGATGTGACATCGCCCAGCTAGGGGAGTTTTCTAATTTGCATGCCAGGATACGGTTCTTAGGGCGCGGTTTCAGCAATTGGCCTTAAAGGGGTTGTCAAGTTATGACTACGGATTTTTTATGACTTCAAAGGCCCTTTAATGGGTTGTCCTTGTATTTTTATACTTTGTAATTTTACGTTTTAAACCTTTAAAATTCATTTATCCTCCATAACCCACAAACTACAATATTTACAGGATAACGATGCTATAATGGCAATGGTTGTAAAGCGGAAACCATGTATTTTGAGCAAACCGGTAACGAATAGTGGCCACCAAATAATACGTAGAGAAGGAGGGGGAAATTCGAATTTAATCGCGAATTCGTTTAAATTTAATTTCGACTGGTTTAAAGGGATGGAGAAGGCAAAAATGCATAAAATCGGCCCCTTGAAAGGCCCAAAAATGATAAGAATAAATGCACAAAAAATTACGAAATATACCTAGGTACCCGATTGGCGAATTCTGGGGCAAGATTTTGTTTGATATAGAGGATGTAAGTATGGTAGTGTTTTTGAGCCGGGAAGGTTACGGTATTTAAAGGGACGGGCAAAGGAGGAATAAGGAATTTGTTGAAGGTAGACTTAGCTTGACGTTAAGCTTAAGCCTAAGCCTAAGCCTAAGTTAAGCCTAAGCTAAACTTCGCCTAAACCTAAGCCTAGACCAAGCCTGAGTCAGGCTCAAGCTCAGCTAAGCCCAAGCTAGCTAAGCAAGCCAAAGCCAAAATCCAAAGCCCTCCCTTGCCCGTCCCTTTAAAGAAAAAGGAAAGCACCTGGAGGGTTTTGACAAATTGAGCATAGATTCTAAGAGTTGCCCCGGCTACCGTAGCCTGTAGCCTGGGGCTAGACAAGTGGAGTTTGGACGGTACTTTCTCCAATCGTCTCCATTTCTCTATCTTCTGGTGGGGGTTCCCGGAAGATGCTACGGTAGCAGTTGATGTCGAATATCCGGGTGGGTACCTGAAAAATTGGAAGGATTTGGAAGGTTTAAAGGACCATTGAAGGCAAAAAGAGGTGGATGGATACCTGTGCGAGGCAGGCGGGAAGTAATACAAGTCCATGCCACATCCCCCAAATCACGACAAGTGATATGGTTTTGACGAAGACGAGAGGGATGTAGTTCTGAAAAATTCGATACTGTCGCGGTCTCTTTAAAGTAAAAAAGACGGTTTTTCAGGTATAGCTGTTCCTTTAAAATGAGTTTCTTGATGTCGTCGTTCCTTTAAAAAAATAGACAATTATCCCGAAGTGTCCCTGTCCCTTTAAATGAACAAATTCGATATATATGGTGGTCACCATCCCTTTAAACCGAAAATTTGGCTTTTCTGGGAGTCGGAACCTGTTTAGCAGGAATTAATCGGTTTTCACTGGGCCTTTAAAGCGTGTCACAGGTGTCGCTGACCCTTTAAAATCCAAATACGGTTTTTTTGAGGTGTCACAGTCCCCTTAAAATGGAAAAGCGTGGTTCCTGTGGTGTCGCTGCGCCTTTAAATCGTCAATAAGCTTTTTTTGGCGCCACAATGCTTATAAACTTAAAAAAAAGGATTTTTTGTGTGTCACAGTTCCTTAAGAAGAAGTTATGATCTGTCATTGTGCCTTTAGACCGAGAAAAACGATTTTTTAGGTGTCGCTGCCCCTTTAAAATCAAGTTACATATTTTCCAGCTGTCACAGGCCCTTTAAAACCAAAATGGTGCAAAATAACTTTAAACCAAACGAAAAAAAACTTTTTCCAACTGTCACCGTCCCTTTAAACCATCTTTTGCCGGAACGAACCTGCAACAACACCAACGGCAATATACAAATGACAGTAGATAGGCCAGCCTGTGTCATTGGCCAGGCAATAGCCTCTACCGTATGCATCAGCTTATCCACAGGGTCCCGCAACGGAACAATCACTGACTTCCCATTCCGTTCGACAACGTGTGATTGGAGCTGAAAGAGGCGGGAGGGGTACGGTAGAAATAACAGCAAATAAGAAAATACCTGATAATGATAGGTGGTGTGTGCAGTGAAATCGACGGACATTCCGATACTCATCAGAATTGCACCAAGGGAGACTGGATCCAGGTCGAGATCCCAGAATGAGAGATAGCTGAAAGGGAGCATTACTAGGTGGTGAAAATGGTCTCTGCTAGCTTGCCCTGGTGAAAAATATCAATTAAAGTGATTGTTGAGTGGAGCGCATTAAAGGGGCTACGAAATGCCAAAAATTGAGTGACGACCCGAAAATCGGAGCCCTGTACGTGGGAGGCCTCTGCACACCTAGGGTCGCGGGAAGCTCGCAACTTTGAAATTCCCCTGTAGTCACCTCGAAATCACGTTCTCGGCTGTTTCTGGGCCAAATTGGATGATTAAAACACCAAAACTATTTAAAATTCAGTGAGGATTTCAAAAATGGGCTCAGAATGCGCGAATTATAGTGTTTTCACAAAGAAACCGGGCAAAAACAACTTCGCGCAAAAATTGAAAGTGAGAGGGCTCTCGTCCCGCGGCGCCCGCTGGCAATTTGCCAGAAATCAAAGAGGCCTCCCAAAAGGGCTTTGATTTGGCAGTTCGGGAGCCCCTTTAATGACAATTGGCCGTTTCCGCAAACTTCTCTGCTAGCTTGCTCCTGTGGAAAATACTTGATTTTAATGGTAGGAAAATGCAAATGTTCCCTGCCAGCTTGCCCTGGTGGAAAAGCAATTAATAATAGGTATCTTATAAAAATACAGCTTTAGCTAAAGCGCATTAATGAAGACCCTACGCTACGTTCCGTTCCCCCAAATGATCTCTGCTAGCTTGCCCAAGCGAAAAACTTTATTTCGATCAAAGTGATGGTTCAGTAAATTTGCATTAATGTAAGGTTCAAGTTACATAAGTTACGCGCACTAATGGTAATCAGACGTTTCCGCAATTGACCTCTGCTAGCTTGCCCTAGTGGAAAGCACTTGAAAATTGCGACATTTTTCGGAAATCGCGCACTAATGAAAGGTTAACCTAGACGACCTAACTTTCATGACCTCGATAATTTTCCACAAATTGTCTCTGCTAGGCAGCCCATCCATAAAAAATACCCACCCAACAGTTCCGAGTGATATCGACGCGATTGCGAGTGAGGCAAGGAGGACAGAGGCTGGATTCTGGATGAAGAGAGCGCAGACAACCACCATACAAATTAATGTCCACATTGCACTCTGAAATACCGTTTATGAGTATAATTAAAGGTATAGAAAAGAATTGAAAGGCTACGCTACACTCCTTTGGACATTTCATGCCTTCCGTTTCCCTTTAATATCCCCCATTTAATTCGATACCTGCATGGCCAACGGCTTCAGCGAAATGATCTGATCGACAAACATTGCATTCACATCGTAGATTGTCGCGTTCATCTCCGAATAACTATAATAATTTTGATAATTAAATTTATTGCTCGAAAATCTATACCTATTAACAATTCCGCGCCACTCCTCCACCAATCTGATACGTTCCTCCCATGATGAGAGCTTTTCGAAGACGAAAACTAGCGAGAAACGCTGGATCGGGTTTGAGCTGAAGAAAACTAGATAATAATTTTAAAAATATAGAATTGCATGAATTTTATGCACTTATATATTTTATATTTAATTTTATGAAAATAGCTTTGATACTACGTTATATATAACCAAAATATATACTTTTACTCGCTTTCAGTACAGATTTTTCGTGCTTAAAAACGTTGCAACGTTATTAATACGTTTTTTTATATCACTTTTATACGGTTTTAAACAAATTTAATAGGGTTCAAGTGTGTATTTAATTGTTAAATCGTTAAATTTGTTTCTATAATTTAATTTAATGTGACTAACCTGCTATTCGTTAGTTTGACGAACGATTGATACTGTCGACGTAGCGTATCGTTGAGGAACGGCTCCAATTTCCCATAGCTCAAGCCAGAATCGCGGGCCTCAAGACTACAAAGTGCGTTTGCCTTGAGAAACCCCTGAAAGCCACCCACTCCTCGTCAAAATCAAAGATCGATGCTTGCTCGTAGTACGATTGGTACGCTCGAATCCAGGAGAGAGTGTAGATTTTGCCTAGAAATTATAGGACTTTAAAATTAAACCCAGCTAAATGATTAAAAACATTTTCGGCCGGGCTGCAGTATGGTTAATTGGTTGAGTGCTAGTCTCCAACCCACAAGATCCGGGTTCGACCCCCACCCACGACAAACGCTTTGCTTTTTGCCCAGGAGAGGCGAATTTCCATAAGGATCCCGACTAGCTTGCAAGATATTGATCATACCGTAATTTTTTATCAGTTACAACACATTTCGAGAGAAATCACCTGTAGCCGATTGGTTAAGCTCCTGCCTCCTACCCAAAAAGCACGAGTTCGACCCCCCACCCGGGTCAATTTTTTACTTTTTGACCAAGATATGCAAATTTCTTCACGAATCCCAGCTAGCTTGCCAAAACCTATCAACCCCCAAAAATTACCGCGATTATGCTCCATCCTGTCAAAATCGTCGTGCATCTTGATCAGCCTGGCGAGTTGTGAGGATTTTCGAATATCCGGCGGGTTGTTGACGATGACAGTCAGTGGATAGTATTCTGGCCATACTGTAGAAATTACGGTATTTTGTAAATAGTACAAAAACGTACTAATCTCCTCCATCAATCGATTTGGGCGTCGAATTGGGGTGTGAATTGGGAGGATTTTGCCGGTGTCGAGTTTCGACTCGAGTCCTACCGTACCCTTCACCGCGAAGAACCAGTATACTAAAATACGATACCTTACAGTATTTTTACCGTACACTACAGTACACCTTAAGTTTCTGAAATATCGTACCTAGACTCCCGAGTAATAAGACGATAGCGACGGCGGGATGGCTGATCACTTTTGCATACCCACGCACCAGGCATTTCAAGAAGTTTCGCAGCTAAATGTCGTTTTGATGTTTGGACCTTTGGTCAATTGGTTAAGCTCTCTCTTCCCACCCACGCGGCCCGGGTTCGACCCCGCCTTCAGCAAAATTTTTGCTTCTTGGCCCAGACATTGCAATTTCCTCAAGGACTACTGCTAGCCTTCCCAGCGCATAAAAAAAAGGAAATTTCGCAAAATTTCAGAAAAAAATAAGAATTTAAAGAATCAAAAAAATCTGGAGATTCTTGCTTGACCTACCGTAAGCCTCCATCCATCTACAGTACGCGGCCCTTCCTTATCAACGGTAGTCGGCGAGGAATAATAGAGGATTGGGCCAAATAGTATTAATGTGTAAATATACGCCATGCCAAGGGCGAGGGCTGTGCCGAAACAGAAGATTGAGATCTCTGAAATGTTACGCTAGCTTTTTGTACAACAATTTTTAGGCGTAAAAAATTGGCTTAATCGGTTACGCGGCGTAAGAAGTCCGGAAAAATCAACTGTCACTCCCCCTTTAAGGCTCCAGAAAGCTCAAATTTACATACCACTGGTCGGGGTAAAGGCTCCGATAAGAAACGTAATGACGTTTGTCAGCGTAGTCGTGGTTATGGAGGGGCCAACTTCTTCAAAAACCTAAAAAAAGTTTATTATCGGTAGATGTCTTTCTCTCTCTCTCTCTCTCTCTCTCTCTCTCTCTCTCTCTCCTCCTTACCCTTCCCATCCTCGTCTGCATATTCTCATTATTTGATTGTCGAAGCCATGCGTGTACCGTAAGAAAAGAGTCATTCACCCCTAAAATGCACAATTCCACTACCGTAACTATTCCAACTGACCGATTCCCATGATGAGAAACGGCATAATAAGTAGTAATTGATTAATAGGACATCCAAAAAGTGAGAGAGTACCCAGAGTTGATGTAATTGCCACAACTGGCACTAGGGTTGAGCATAGGCCAACGATTACGGTCCACCTGAAAATAGACGATTATCGAAGGGAGGGCGGGCTAGCTGGGATTATTTTCGGAAAAAACTGTACAAAATTCGGGGTTTTAAAGCGCCAATAGAATTATTTTAGAGCAGACTAGCAGGGATTCTTTGAGAAACTGCCAAGATTAGATAGCGTAATCGATTGTCGATGTTCGGCCGGCTAGCTAGCAGAGATTCTTGGGGGAAATTATCCAGCAATGAAAATACATGCCGTAATCGTTTCGCCATCGTTTCTAGGGCAGTCTTGCAGAAATCTTTGTGGAAATTAATTTATTTTCGGTCGATTTTATCGGAATATTGCCAATGTTCTTTAGGAAAACCTTACCAACATTACATGGCGTAATCTATTTTGTTCTCTAGGCCATCTAGCAGAGTTCCTTTGCGGAAACATGTCAGGGCTAATAAGCAGTGATTATTTAGGAAACCAATCTTCAAGCCGAGATAGCCTAGCAGCTAGAATTCAGAAAATTTAGCGCATTTTAGAGCATCAAATCATCATTAGCGCATTTTAGAGCATCAAATCATCATTAGCGCATTAAATCATCAATGATGATTGCTAGCTTGCCCAATTTTTCATTTTTCAATTTTTCATTTACTCACCAATTTAACCTATCAAAATACAGTGCCGAGAAGTATACGGTAGAGCAGACAAAGAGAAACATTGCCCCGAAACCGTATGCAAAATACGGGGACATCCGCTGAGCTTCACGATTGATCTCAACGTCCACGATCTCGGAGCCGATCACCTAAAAAATACGATATAATACCTGAATGTACAAGTATAAATAAAAGTATTTCGTTCGTAAGCTAATAGAAGAAATTAAATTAATTGAGTAAATATATATAAATTGGATTTCTATACACATAATTTTTTCCTCATAGTAAAATTAAAAAATGGTAACCCCTAAAAATGTAGATGACCATGCAGAAGAAGAGGACAGATGGCCCACTACTCCAGTTATAGTCAGCCGGGATACTGTAGCGATGCTATGTACCGGTGGACCAGTTTTTGGACACCAGTAAGATTCATCGCTGCCGCGGGCGGGGGTCGAACCCGGGTCCTGCGGGCGGGAGACGCGCGTCGGGACCACTATACCACAGGGAGAGCTGGTCTGGGGTCGGGCTCATGAGGCCAAGAAATTTCGGCGACCAGTTTCTTTTAGCTCCTACCCTATTTCGCCGCAATTGTCTTTGTGGCCGAGTGGTTAGTGAGTTTGCCTTATAATCTAAAGACCATGGTTCGAATCTCGCCCGCGTAATTTTTTTGCTTTTTGAATACCACGTTGGCTACGTCATTTTAAAGGCGTTGTCAAGTGAAAATCGGCTCACCAGCACTTCCACCAGTGGATATGGATTCTGGGCGGCCCATCGATAGACAGCCATCTCCCACGCGGCCATCCTCTCATCATCCCCCTCGTCTCGAAGCTCTCCCAGAAATGTGGCCAACACCAACTAAAATTCACCAAGTTACCGTAACAATGTAGTCATAACCTTAATGTGTCGAACATTCGAGACATCTCCCTTGGGTACAGTAGCCCCGGATGTTTCCACCCCAAAAAAGCTTCTTTCGAGGTGGATGGGGATGTCGAAGGTGATCAGGCGGCTGATAGGATATCTAAAAAAGGGGAATAGATAGTTTAAAGGGCCAGGAAAGGTATAATCGCACGGATTTTTGGCTCTCGATTCCCTAGAAAGTCTGCCACGTCGCGACACGCAACACGTTACAGCGTATTGAATTACGAATGAAATGCCGCGAGATTGCTTCTTATATAGCGCAATCCATTATTCTAGGAACACGCGACGCAATGCGCAACACGCGCGTCGCCTCACCGAATCGATTACGATATAAAAATGGTGGCGGAGAGGTGCGTTGCGTGTCGCGGCCGCGGTTCGGTAAAAATTCACCGCGTCCGTTTTTACTAAGTCTGATTTGATTTTGTACGATCTGATTTGTGTGTTGCATATCGGTAAAACCCATATCCCGGCCTTCAACGTCCCTTTAAAGGAACCTTGAAGGCAAATATATTAGCACGCGATGTCGCCCTCCCTTTAAAACAACTCACGTCAGCTCTACATCATAATCCAACGTCTCATTCCTGCCCTTCTTCACCGAAAAATCGATAAACATTTGAGTTGGCAAATTCGCATCGCAATATGAACCACAAAACGTGTCATAGCCCACCGATTCGGATCCGTATTCGACGGTCAGATTTTTTGCTGAAAATGGAGATAGCAGGCTGGCAGAGGTTATTGAGGATTTTGAGGGGTGGTAGCAGAGAATCTTTAGGAGATCGATGGTAAATATAGGACACTGTTTCGAAAGTCGGGCAGGCTAGCAGAGACCATTTGAGGAATTGAGTCAGGCTAGCAGGGACTCTTTAGGAAAATCGAGCGTCAGTCGGCTAACCGAGATTTTTTGAGGAATTCTAGGCAAACTAGCAGTGATCTTTTAGGAAAGATAGATTGCGGACTAGCAGAGATTCTTGGAGCAAGGAGGCAAATTAGCAGAGATTATAGAGGAAATTCAGGCAAGCCGGCCGGGATTCTTTAGGAAGGATTCGCTTTCGGTAGGCTTGCAGAGGTTTTTGAGGAATTTTAGGGTAAGCTAGCAGAGACTCATTAGGAAATTGAGATGGGCAGGCTGGCAGGGATTCTTGGAGAATCGCTACATGAATGAATAGAACTTGGAGAATAGAATAGCAGAGATCAGATGAGAAAAAGTGGTTCTTTGCGAATCGGAGGCAAACTAGCATAAATCTTTTGGGAAATTCAGCCAAGGCAGCAGAGATTCTTTAGGAATTAGAGGGCAAACTAGCAGAGATCATTTAATTCTCTCAGAAAACCCACATATCCACTGTATAATATCTCTAGCTTCGAGCAAATGTCCTTCGCGATGCATCGAACCTCCATCTCTAGCCACCATCAATACAGATGTTGTCATTGGATCTCCTGAAAATCAATAGATCCTCTCTCTCTATCTCTCTCTCTCTCTCTCTCTCTCTCTCTTTCTCTCTCTCTCTCCATACCTGTAACATTGAGGAATTCCTTGTATATTTGTGCTTCTCTTTTCGCAGGAGATGTTGAGGGAGTAAAGCCATCCCGGACGTTATCTCGGAGGTGGAGCTCAATCATGCCCACTGAAACGTTAGAATTAAAGGGACGTGGACAGCAGATTTTGCGGTTCTCTAGCTCCGTTTTTGACTCCATTACTCCCTGTTTTAGGCATGGGAACAAGGAGTTCGAGCATGAGATCGAGAAACAAGCATGAATGAATGCGAAGAGCGGCGTCCGAATCTCTACGGGCGGGCAGCCTAGCTGCAATCCTTGCGGAATTGAACTAACCTGAAGTAGAACATAATATAAGTGCAGAGATGAGAAATGCGAGTGGATATGCCCCGATTGCCTCGCCGATCAATCGAAAAATTGTCGACAACGACAATTGACGGCAGAAATCCAGCAGCATCGACGTTTTGTGACCTGAAAATTGACTCGTTGGCCCCTTTAAAGGAATCTATAGCTTCTTCTCTGCTCCTTTAAAATGCCATTTTTAAGCATTTGGGAAAGATTAGGCCGCTTAAAACGCTATTTTTGAGCAAATTTGCCTTGTTTTTTTTACTTCAACGTCCCTTTAAATTGGTTTCATGCATATTTTTAGACTTGCCGGTGCCTTTAAAATCATACATAGCATTTTTTTGACTTGGGAATGCCTTTAAAATGCGATTTTCGACCCTCTTTTTAGACTTGCCAGTCTCTTTAAAATCGAAATATTACGAGTTTTCAGGTAGGATTTCCCTTACCAGGATGCATCAATCGATCGGCGGTCTCTTGAAGAGGCAACGAGCCGTGTTTCTTTGGATTAAAGGGACCGGGAAGTGGAGAGAATGAGGAACACCCGGCATCCCCGTCAGCATGATCACACACTAATGGAGCCACCGCGTCCTCTTTGGGACGCATTTCCTGGAATGAATGGAGATAGATATGGGGGCAGGCTGGCAGAGAATCTTGTGGAAATCAGAAAAGGCACGCCAGCGTAGATAATTGTGGAAATAAGGAGAAAGCGAGACAGCGGAGATTCCTTGAGAAATCATATGGCGGCAAGCTAGCATAGATTATTTTTTAAAAATCAGTGAGGTAAGCTAGCCGCATTTTTTGGGAATCAGAATAAGGGAAGTTAGCGGAGATTCTTCAGGACTGGAGACACGCAGGGGAAAATTTATCAAGGCAAGCTAGCAGAGAACTTTTTAGGAAATTCAAAAAAGGCAATAAAGCCCAGCTAGCAAAGCACATTCAGGAATCTATCAGGTTGGATAATAAGTTCTGTCACAATTTTTTCGGAATCGTTTGTTAACGCTGCAGACGTACCCGAATGGATAGTTTATTATATGGTTTGATAGGTCTCATCGAGCTCTATTTAGGGTAGACCCTCCTAGCACCCAAAACTGGAGGGACGCCGAGATAGAGCTTCAAGAAGTTTTCCAAAAAATCATGCAAAACCTATTTTGCAAGTTATCTCTACATAGAGCAATTTGCATGCGATACCTTTACCGTGAATCGATAGCTCTCAAGGAGTAGATATCGATAGATGTTGAGATCATCAAAATTGGACATCGCATGGCCTCTTATGGCCTCTTGAAATTTGGCCCGTTTTCTTAGAACTTTTCTCGAAATCCCATACATTTGATCAACCGGAGCCAAAACTGGCCGCTTGATATTTGAAAGAGCCGGGAGCTTTTTGACCAAATGTATGGGATTTCGCGAAAAGTTCAAAGAAACTGGCCAAATTTCCGGGGACCATATCTCGGCCACCCGATGTCCGATTTTGATGATCTCAACATCCATCGATATTTACTCCTCGAGAGCTATCGATTCACGGTAAAGGTATCGCATGCAAATTGCTCTATGCAGCGATAACTTGCAAAATCCGTTTCGTATGATTTTGCGAAAAACTTCTCCGGCCTGTATCTCGAAACCCATCAGTTTTTGGGTCAGTTCATGGTCTTCCCAGGATAGAGAGCTGCGAGACCTATCGAACCATATCTCAAACTCCAAAATTGGCAACATCTGTGATTTGAACGAGCTATTTCAAAAAATTGTGACAGAACTTATTATCCAACCTGATACGTAATTCAGGAAGGTAAGGAATCTTTAGGGAAAGTAGCAAGCTAGCAGAGTGCCTTTAGGAAGTTAGGCAATCTGGCAGAGCCCCTTAGAGAAAATGGGCTGAGGGCAACGCAGCAGAGATATTCGCAGAAATTCAAACACGATAACCTGACAGGGACTCTTTAAAAGCAACTGAAAATGTGGATTCTTTTTAGAAATATCGGTAATCTAGCAGAGATTCTTGGAGAAACCCCCTTTTTTGGAGAATTTTTTGAAGTGATGACGAAAAACCCTCAAAAACAAAAGAGGGCGATTCGCATAAAAAACCCCGCAAAAATTCGGGGGCCAGCAAAAATTCTAAAGAATTCCCGAAAAGGCCGAAAAAGGCCAATATGCATTCGGGAGGAGGACATTATTCAGGAGATGGAGGAGGGGGACTGACTGAGAATGGGACACGCCATCCAATGAAAAAAATGAGGAGAGGAGGAGGAGGAGATGCTTTTGCGATTACATCGGAAGAGAGAGAGAGAGAGAAGAGAGAGAGAGAGAGAGAGAGAGAGAGAGAGAGAACACGGCATCAATATCAATATTATTGCCCTCCGGCTACAGGGCAGAATATTTACACCGATATTTGTGTGTTCCGAAACGTCTGGAGCAATAGATATCTGAATATCAATAATAATAACAATAACGATAATAAAAAGATTTTATAAACCCTAGCAATTAATATCGCGTAATTGGTTGCTGGAATTTATCCAAAAATTCGAAAAGGAAAACAACCAGCAGAGATTACTTGCGAATCGAAAGAAGCTAGCAAAGATACTTGAGGAAATCAAGACAGCCGAGCAGAAATTTTTGAGGAATTTGTGAAAAGCTAGCAGAGGTTCTTAGAGAATTTATTTAAAACTGGCAGTGATCTTCAGGAAATTCAAGGGAGGTTTAGCAAACATCATTAGGGAATTTGGCATGCTAGCAGAGATCATCTAGGAACTTACATTAAATAAAAACCCTCGAAAACCCCCGAATTTTTTGGGCAATTCTAGCGGCTGGCCGTTGGGAAGGGTTGGGCCCTTAGGGCATGACCCCCGACAGAGAAGAGAGAGTGAGAGATAGAGAGAGGACAGAGAAAGAGAGTGGCAGACAGACAACACATCGATCCTCTGTCTCTCTCTCTGTCTCTCTCTCTCTCTCTCTCTCTCTCGCTGCCCATATCGAGGAGGGCCTCTAAAGGGCAATTAAAGGGGTCGGGAAGGCCGTCTAATATTGGGCCCTCGTAGCCTAGCCAACCAAAGACCATTTCCTAATTTCGAGAGAGAGAGAGAGAGAGAGAGGGAGAGAGCGAGAGAGAGCGAGCGAGAGAGAGCGAGAGAGGGAGAGCGAGATAGAGAGGGAGATAGGGAGAGAGACAGCGGAGACAGAGAGAAATACGGGCAGTGAGAGGGAGAGAGGGAGAGAGAGAGCCACTGAAAGTACAGAGTACAAGATCCATTCTCCAGCGATTCTTTTAATCTTGCTAAAACCAAAGGTGAAATCCACTCGGACCCTAAAATTGCACCCATCAATCTGACGGCCGGGGGGGCTTTTCCTCGGTCCTTTTTTAAAGCCACGGGGAAGGGTTCAAGTTTCTCGCCGGCCAGACAACCACTAGGAAAGGCCGAGAAAAATGTCAAAAAAACTCCCAAAAAACTATGTCTTCCCCAAAGATCTCTGCTAGCTTACCAGAGAAAGAGAGAGAGAGAGAGAGAGAGAGAGCAATGGTAGAATACCTAAATGATCCCTGCTAGCCTGCCTAGCTTCTCAAATTACCCTTGGTAAACTATTTCCCGTAAAGAACCTCTGCTAGCTTGCTCCATTTTCCGCAAAAATCGTTGCTTCCTGGCCCAGTTCCCTAAAAGATCTGTGCTAGTCGTCCTGAATTGGACCTCTGCTAGCCTGCCGCATATTTCCGCAATTGATACCTTCCTACGCGACTAAACTATGAACAACTGAACACGGCCGAAATCGCCCAATTTTATTGCCGACTCCCCCGATCGCTAATTAGATCCCACAGAATCGCCCAAAATCGATATTTTTTTACGCCCCGACGAACTGTGGGGGCTGGTCACAATTAGGATCCACCGTTTTTCGAGGGCAAACTGGCAGAAATCCGGAAATTTGAAAAAAATGAATATTGCCGTTTTAAAGCCAATGTTGGGCCCTTTTTAGAATTTTGGAAGAGGGGGAGGGGGCCCAAAAAAAGGGAAAAGGGAAAAAGGAGAATTGGAAATTTTTGGGTTTTGGGGGGGGGGATTTTTGGGTATAGAGCACCCCCCCCCCCCCACGGAGCGAGGCCGGGGGAGCCGGGGGGGAAACCCCAGCACCGCCCCGCCGCCCCCCAGGCGAAAAAATTCTGGGCAAGCCAGCAGAGATCATTGAGGAAAAGCTGGATATAGAATATCCAGGGAAACTAGCAGAGATTCTTTAGGAGACACTACCCTTCAAAAAACAAGCCCCCCCCCCCAAACTGGCTTGAAAGGTTTATCAGTTTGCCCCCGAGGGGGCGATCGCCAAAAAGGTCACCCCCACGACGGCTGATACCAGCTCTGCAAAAATGTGGAATATAAATTGAACGACTCCAAAAGAATTCCCAAATGATCCCAGCCAGCCTGCCCGGCTTCCCTGTGGCTTTAAAAGTAAGATGGAATTTTGCGCGATCAAAACTGCCGCTGTATAAATCGAATCTTGAGCCTGGCGTGCAGAATTTTTGATTTTGCGACTCGATCGCGTAAAATACACTGGAAATGGAGGGGAATGGGCAGCTGACGCGGGAGAGAGAGAGAGAGAGAGAGAGAGAGAGAGACGCATACAGACAAACGGACAGACATAAATTATGTCTGCTTTGTGGCTCTCTCTGTCTCTCATGCTCTCTCTCTCTCGCTCTTATCTCTCTCGACTGATGCTCACCTCGTGAAAAGCGGTGAAGGTTGATTGACCTCGAATCGGAAGGGGGAAGGTTAAAAGCAGGCCAGCTAGCAGATATTCTTTAGGAAAATCTAGGCGGAATTTTCCATGTTGATAAAGGCGAGCTAGCAGAGGTTCTTGCGGAACTAATCCCAAGGGCTAACTAACAGCAGCATTTGAGAAAAATTAACTATATTTCGGAAACAGGACAAGCTAGCCGAGATCATTCAGGTATGGCACTTTTTAAGCGGCAAGCCAACAAAAATCTTTGGGGAATTTCCTCCATCGCAACTTTCCCATTGCTTGTTGCCATTTTTAGACTCATCGATTTGGGGCACGACTGACCGGGATGGACAGTGAGAGAGAGAGAGAGAGAGAGAGAGAGAGGGAGCGTGTGAGGCAAAGAAACAGAGTTTCTAGACACTATGCCCAAAACAATAAACATTGGCGAAGGAGACGGCTAGTGTCAGTGTATGTATGAGAGAGAGAGAGCGTGAGAGAGTGATATAGAGAAAGAGAAAGCGAGACAGGGAGACGACCTGTAAATTGGCCGTGATTTTGAACCCCATGAAATGGCGGCGAGGGCAAAAAAATAGGGGACAACAGGGTAAATACGCAAATTGAATTCGGGGGCGACGGGGCGCCAAGTGCAAGTTCAATATTTTTCGCATTCTCACGTGGTTGTAGAGGGATAGAAAGAGAGACAGAGAGAGAGAGAGAGAGAGAGAGAGAGAGAGAGAGAGAGAGGGAGAACGCGAAGTGAGTCATCAAAACAATATGCAGTAGTAACTTTTATTCCCTGAGAATTTCTCCGAAAATCTTTGCTCGCCTACCATAGCTCTGCTTATCAAGTTTCCCCAAGGGTCTCTGCTAGCCTTTCCGGGCGAAATTGCCTGAAAATAACTATAAAATTTCGGCAATCTAGAATTTTTTTGAGTCGGACCAACGCGGGTGGTTTGTGTAACAAAAAAAAGGGGAAATTCGCGGTTGACCGATAGAGCGAGGGAGGAGAGAGAAAGAGAGAGAGAGAGAGAGAGAGAGAGAGAGAGAGAGCAAGAGAGCAAGAGATAGTGTTCTGAAAAATGGGAAATACCCACCACCCCCCGACCAACCCCACACAGACAATCAAATTGATGTTTCACCTACGGGGGAAGGGGACGGAAATATGGCAAAGAGAGAGAGAGAAACAGAGAAATACGGACGGAAACCGGTCCGTCGTTTTCTACCCAGCCAGGGGCGAGGCTGTTACAAGTACAACGCCCACTTAATTGCCCAACGATTTCGTGTAAAAGCAATGACAAAACCGATTTCCTAACGTTCGTTAAATGACAAAAATTTTTGCCGCGCCGAGGGGCCGATCCCGGACCATGTGGTGAGGAAGTGTGCGCGTTACAAATGCACCAGCGGAACCTTCAATTGTCTTATGTAAAATTCCGGCCAACCATCTAGCAGAGATTTCGGCGAGAATTTGTGGGCAGCAGGGAGAATTTCCGATTTATTTGCCTATTGAAAAAACATGCCGTAAAAAGTCTATGACAAATCGAGGATAATGAATAGTCTTTTGAGAATGGCCAGATGGCCTGTATGAATAGATTGCCGAGGCAGAGAGAGAGAGAGAGAGAGGGGGGGGGAGAGAGAGAGACGCGACTGTACAAATTTCGGGGCTCCTCATTCTGTCTTGGGCGGCTCGTCTTGTTTTTCTTCGCCTCCCAAATTTCATCCGAGCCCCCCAAAATTGTTTGGCTTTCGGCTTTGAAAATCGGGGGTCGAAGGGCCGAGAAGTGGGGATAATACGCTCATTTTATAGGGAAATTGAACGGGAAAAAAGTTTACAGTCAGGCTAGCCGTGGCAGACTTTGTGCCGCTGAGATTTAATGTTTAATGTTCAAACAGGAATTATTTGAACTAACAAAAATTACAAGGGTGGCTGTCGGTATTTTGTCGAAAGTAAATGTAATGTTTTTGATCGATTTGAGGCGATAGTATTTACAGATTTACAGATATTTACGGATTTGTTAGCAGAGATTGTGAGAATTGACATATTTGCACATTTTTGCATAGGAAGATACATGTAAGACCAAACCGAAGAACTTTTATTTCCCGTGACGGCTTTGAGCGGAATGGCTGAAGATGGAGGGGCCGAGATTTTGATTTACACGCCACAAGGTCTGATGCCGTCCACCACTTCTCGGTAAGATCATCTACCATAGCCCGAGTTTCGTGTCTTTGCAGCAGCTACACGGCAAATGCGTGGATCAAGGCAGTCGGCACGCGGTGGTTGGGCCTTGTACTGCGGGTCATGCTGTGTACGGGCGAGCTGCTGGCGAGCCACACGATCGGCGGCGAGATTCTCTCCGAAAACGACAGCGTAGACCAGCTCCTGCGAAACTTAATCGAATTTTAGTGCACCTTCTCGTTGACGCTGCGCACGCATGTCAAAAAGGCGGTCTATCGTGTGCTCGTGAAGGCGGAGGATGCCGCTGGATTGCAGCTCTTTCGGCTCGCGTCACAGTCTATCAGCGTGGGGATATACGCCTATAAATAAAGCATACCATTGCAGATCTACAAACACTTTTGGCGCATTCTGAAGCCGGGGACGGTAATAGTTTTAATGATTGGTTTGACGCCGAATTTAGGTCGTCGCTAGGCATGCACGCGGCCGGTACCTGAGTTTGGCTGATGGATCCGCCGTGTGCACCAATTGCGTGGAAGTACTCGAGTTAAAATCTTTGCCTGTAAGTTTGAATCTTTGGGTACTGGACTGTCAGCTGGGGGGAGGTGGTTTAGCAAGGGCAAACTAATTAAGTTTTGCCTCTATTTATACCATATAATGTATTTTTATAGTGTCTTGAACAGTTTTGGGTTGATAGAATGACATCAAAACAGTTCAAAAAAATTGGTAATTTCGGAAGCTTTTGGCCACTTTGCATACATACAATGTGATCAGAAAGCCAAAAAATTATGGTTTTTTTACGTGCTTTTATACCAGGGGACTATGTAAATTACACTGAAATTGGTTTAAATTTTGTGCGTTGAGGCGTGCAGGATAGCTGGCAAAAGTTGGTTTCCCCCCTCCGCTAACAGTCCAATGCCTAAATGTTTTAGCCACTTTCTTTATTTAGGACTCTTCTCTCTACCTCAAGACCGCGACACGGCCCCTTGGATTGCCCGTATCGCTGAACCAGACGTGCAACAAAGGCACCAAGGTGTGTTGTGGGCGGCAAGAAAGGCCGATTATGGCTTTGTTTTATTTCATTCGTTTTCCAGGCCCAGCCGAATACCTCGCTGTTTAACGACCGAGCTACGATGATCGAGGCCGATGGTTCATGGGTGGCGCCTGAATCTACGGGGCAGATCTTCTACATGGTGAGTGGCGCCGTACGTCTGAAACAAATTTGGTATTTAGGAAAAGAATTCGGTAGCGCCCGCCGCTGCTGGGGAAGATCTCAAATGGGCCTTCACCTCCGTGAACGTGGTATGATTTGTTCGATTTTAGCTAGCAAACATTACAATATATCACCAGGGTTGAAAAGCCGCTTCGCGACTTTTCAACCCTGCCCCGTCTTCCCGCATGCTTCGTCGCTTTGAATAAACCACTGAATTCCTGTGCAGAAAAATGAAAAGCGCGGCCTCTCCCCCATTATATAGGCTTCCCCCACTTCCGGTGCATGCAAATTGATTCCTAACAAAGAGCCTCGGCAAGATTTTCACAAAAACCTACTTTTAATATCGAAAACAACTAATTTTGTTAAAATTGATATGTGTGCAGTCGTGTCATGAGCATTACGCACCTAATGACGTATCATACACCCCCTTAACTTCTTCCCTTATTGAGATACGACTGGAACATACGGACGGAAGTTGCATGCAAATGCACACACACACACACACAGACACTATTTTTTTTATATATAGTAGGATCTCGGTATTTTGTCGGAAATTCATGTAATATTTTTCATCAATGTTAGGTTTATGTATCTCATTTATTGAATTCCTAGATTTCGTGCCGTCTTCTGTCCTGGAGCACGCCGTCGCAAATTCTCCTCAACTTTGGCCTGTCTCACGAAGTTGATCATCTGCACGGCTATTCAGCGACACAGCGGGTTGAAGTCCTACTGGGTGATATCCCGCTGACCGAGAAGTAAGCGGCATTTCTCACCTGTATGATATAAAAATATGAGCCGGAGAATAATGAAGCGAAACTATGGAATCTTTTAGGCAATGCAAGTGTGCCTCCGATGTGAAGGGAACAATCAGCTACCAACTGCCAAAGCGACCGAAGTACTCGGCTTATGAAATGGAGCGCTTTACGGCAATTTACGGCGACGATGACTTGCGCGTGGACACTCGTTACGCCTGGGATTACAAGGTCAGCTTGAAGAATCGTTTAGCAATGAAAAAATTTAGGAAAACGTGCTCATCCCGCCTTCCCATCCTCCTATGGAACTGATGCAGGCGCGCTTCCAATCAGTTTTTGCCTCTAGTAATAACAATTGGCGTATACGGTATCATGTAAAATCGAGTTGAATTTTCAGTAATCACATGACGTACCTCCACTCGCAATCTTCCGGCTCAACAGCGAAGATTAACGCAATACCACAGCCCGATTTCTACAAAACTCTACTTTTCCGCCTAATGACATGATGCCACGTGAATTGATTTGTGAAATAAATAGTCAAGCCCATCTAGCGTTGGAAAAGTATGCCCCAGAAAACAATAAAGCATTCGCAAAACCTTCAGCAGCGAGCTTGTCGGGGTGTCATTTGTACTGTCCGTTGTCGGAAATTTGGGGTTGGAAATTTGGGCGAGTGGAAAGTTGCACAAACTACAGGGCAACCCGGACAACCTGCGCTTTCACGAACCGGAACGCAGCAGATGCCTAGGACTGCGTCATTTGCCGTAAATAATCGTAGTGATCCAACGCGTGGAACTGTAAGCCGTTTCTCACTTGTTCAAAAACATTTATCACTCGAAATGATATGTCGATAGCAGCAATCTCAGTTCACAAAAATCGCCAAGCGAAGAGGTGAAAAGTCAGCGATAAATATCACAATCGTAAATAACGACGGAATTTTTGGTCTCAAGTACAAAACGCATGGGGGCCAGGGGAAGAACAACAATATTTAGTTGAGCGTTGAGGCGGGGGGACGAGGTGCTTAGAAATGACAATTACCGAGGTGTCAATAGGAAAGGGCCGCTTCTTTATATTCGGATCCATCGGCGGAGAACAGCTCCTCCAGTCGCCATTCCAGCGTCTCGAACGTCGGCCGCTTCTCCGGATCGGCACGCCAGCACTAAAAATGAGGGGTTCTTTCGCATTATCGGGGGTGGGGAGGCAAAAATTTTTTGCATACGTTTAGAAATAGAATAGAATAGAAATAGAATGGAATAGAACGTCTAGAATTTAATAGGAAGTGTTTCAAAGGTTTCTATAATAAAATATAACCCTATTTCAACTGGAAAAACCTAAATACATATATTTTTTTTGTATTTTTTTAATAAAAATTTGTAGAGTTTTAATTATTTCTATTGTAAAAATTGTATTCTAAGAACAACGCTGTTCCCCCCCCGATAATGCCAAAGAACCGTAAAAGGTAAGAGTAAAGGGCGCAAAAAGTCTCTGCCACCGCCCCCTCACCTGCAGCATAATATCGTAGAGCGGGGGCGGGCAATTCGGCGGACACTGCATGCGGTAGCCCTGCTCGACTTGTTGCAACACTTCCGCATTCGTCATCCCTAGAGTAGTCATATTAAATCAGGCATAAAATTGGGAATACCTGGGTACGGTATCCGCCCAAACGTCACCATCTCGGTGAGAAGGATGCCGAAGCTCCATACGTCCGACTTGGTGGTGAACTTGTTGAAGTTGGCGGCCTCGGGGGCTGTCCACTAAAAATGCGAGGGTGGGGCTAATGCAAACGGTGTCCAGCAGTACCTTAATTGGGAACCGTGCGCCGGGGTGTGCTTCGTACTCGGCCTCCTTCAGCAACAGCCTGGCCAGCCCGAAATCGGCAATCTTGACGGCGTTCGCGTGCGAGACGAGGATATTTCGGGCCGCCAGGTCGCGGTGGATAAAGTTCTTCGACTCGAGGTAGCCCATCCCGGATGCTACCTGGAAAATAGAATGGAACATGGTACACAATTTCTGCTGCCAAACAAATGACACGCGTCCCCCCGGATGGCGCTGGATTATTGATCGAAACGCACGCACGCACTAATGTCTCAACCCGGGTACTGGACTGCTAGCGGGCGGGGGGTTTAGCCGGGGAGAGAAACAACTTTCCGTGTAATCTCGTACGTCGCTATAAAAATATAGACCATTTTCATCGTATTTTAGACATTTTTTATATAAAAATTCAAAAAAAATTGGCAAAAATTTCGAATTTTCAGTAACTTTTGAAGTTTCTAGCAATCAAAAACTACTCAAAAACACTATAAAAATACATTTTATATTAGCAGAAGCAGGCGGAAAAACAAAAATTAGTGTAGCCCGCTAACATCCCCCTGTTAACAGTCCAGTACCGAATCCGCTCCGCCACCCTGCCAAACTGTAATCCGGCGGCAGTTGGCACTGCAGATCGGATCTTCCTCCGCAAAACAACCATGAACGGACGACCAGCTAGCGCGCGTAACCGGTTACCAAAACTCTCTATCTCTTCTCTCTCCCTCTCTCTCTCTCACTCTCTCTCTCTCTCTCTCTTACCCCCTATCCGCTCCCTCGCCAGCTACAACGAACCTGTGCGGCCATATCGACGAGCTGGCGAATTTGTTGGCGGAGTTGTGCCTCGGCGGGGCTCGGACGACCTCGACCCTAGAAGCAGAAATTTAACTCTCTAACTAAAACTTTCGAGAAATTTCCCAAATCATCGCTGCCAGCTACCTGTAAATAGTGGAGCAAGTTCTCGCTCATCAGCTCGGTGACGATCAATATGGGCTGCTCCCGGGTGCAGACGGCGTACAACTGCAGTAGACGAGGATGTCTAAAAATAGCAATAAAAGTCTATTGATGCTTACTTGAGCTTCTTCATAATCTGCGCCTCGGCCAAAAAAGTCGGACGGGTCGGCGGCGCCGGATCGCAGTCGCTTCACCGCCACGGCCACATTGTTATTCCACCGTCCTTCCCACACCTATAAACGGACGGGTGTTCATTGGAGCGCATTGGGTACTGAGTATTTCCGGGTGGATCCTACATTTTTTATTTATAAGTCTTGTAAATATCCCTAGTAACGTAATATATAAGTTTCTTAGTAGGCATAGTAAAATTTGGCCATATAGAGCTAAAAACCATCTAAGTAACGCTAAAAAGCTATAAACTGAAAAGTTAAAGAGATGAGGACGGCATCTGTTGAACCCCCCTTGGGGAGGGGGGGTTCAACAGGTCCCAGCGCGACCGGCGGCGAGAGAGGGCGCCCAGGGGAGAGGCGCAGAGACATTTTCTTTCCCGCGCGTAATCGATTGCCTTATGCCGCCCCTATCTCTTTAAATTTCGAATTTTTGTCGTCCGTCGATTTTGCTCGAAAAAGCGAAATTTATTTTTTACTTCTATGAATAATCAAAACTCGAAGCAAAGCGGAACAATTCTCCACGGGAATATTCGAAAACCGCGCGTACCTCTCCAAATTGACCGGCCCCAATTTGTCTGATCAACTTCACGGTCCGCCGATCAACTTCCCATTGATCGTCTAAATTTCGTTAGCTTGAAAATTTTGTAATGGCTACCGTATGTAAACGTTGAGGTCTGCGGTAGATCTGTTTTAGGGCATGGCGTTGTGAGGGCAACACAAAGACCGTCAGCGTCCTAAAAATGGTTTACAATCCCAAAAAAGGCCCAATACCAATTGGTAGTGGCTGATCAGCTCGTTGAGGGTGGGGAATGGGCGGCGGCGGGCGATGAACACGCCGCCCTGGTCGAGGGAGCGGATGCGGTAGTGCTTTACCGAGTCGACCTCGCGAACTGAAAATGGTGTTTTCAAAGGAAGAGGTTTTAACGCGTTTTAGAAACATTTTATTATATAAAAAGATATATTTCGATCACGAATTGTTAAAAAATCGTTTCAAACGAAAACTGCGGCAATTCGATTATTCCTCTAGGATCAGCGCTAGCCTGCCTGGGCCTAAAACCCACCGGATAGCGACAATTCGTTGTGTCGGCTCTCGCTCTCGCGCACCAAAAAGACGCCGCTTCCGCCCTCGGCTTGCTGCAAAGCCTTCTCGGCCTCTGCTCGGCGTACCCGTCCAAAGTACCATCTGGAAAAAGGGATTATTTTCTTAATTTGTTCAGCGTTTTGCGGAGCGCAACTAGAGAGATCCCAGAAATATACAAGTCAGAAAAATAGAATGGAGAAAAAGGCAGCCTTAGTCTATAAGTCTAGAAATAAAAACTCTACTCGAAAAAAGCAAAGGAAATCGAGGGAGAAGCTACTTATCCGTCCAAAACGTGCTAGACCTTTTCCCAACCTAACTCTCCCCTCAATATTTGAATTTTTCACCCCTGTGCCCTTTCGGTGCCAGTCTTTGATCCGACCGCGATTCCCCCGCAGCACCTCCAGCCGGCTTTCTCCTCCACCTCATCCCCCATTTAGAGACCATCCTGCCCCCCACCTTAATCGACGGGTGAAATCGGCGCATTTTTTGGCGCCCACCCTGGCTGAGCCCTCATCCACCCACTTTTCCTCGAACCCCACTCCGAAAAAGGGAATGGTATTGAGGCGCGCGGAACGCATCGAATACCACCCAGACACCGGCTTTTGCGGCCGCGCCAAGGTTGAGGGCGTAATTTAGGGAAGCTACCAAATATTATTATCCCCCTTGGCCAACGAGGGCGGGCAAGCAGAGACGCTTCACGTTTTGTGTACCATATTTACCGGATGGATCGGACATGGTCAAATGGGCAGGGTCGCATAAAAGTGTTTTTGCTTAGGTTACTGCAAAAATTGCGTAGGATGGCTAGGATAGATAAAATTCCAGAAGGATCGTTGACCTGGCCTGGAAAAAAAGTGAAAAACGTAGGAAAAAATAACGCATTGTTTCCTAAGAATTGCTAACATGCCCAAGATAAGGTCAAATATATTATGGCTTTCACTTTCTCCAAGAGCCCCTGCTAGCCTGCTTTCAGCCCGAGAGGCCCAGGTTCATTTTCCTTTCTTTTTCCTAAGAATATTTTCTTCTCAGTTTTCTAAGCGTTAAATTTGTCTCGCCTACTCGGCAATCACTCCTTTAAGCTTTTTTGCGATCCCGGTGGCTAAGATAGAATTTTCAGGTGGGCCTGATTTTAAGAAAAATAATTTGGATTTGATTTCTATATTTTAGAAAAAGCCCGTAAAGTAGGTATCTGGTTTGCTATCTTGTAGTCGGAAGTGGTACAGATGCTGCTTTGGAATAGATACCTCATGTGAGGTATCTATTCCAAAAATTGCCCATCGTACTCTGCTCAGTCCGCAACAGCCTCAGATTTCCTTTCCCAGATGATCCCCGCTAGCCTGCCCCAACTAACCAAATTCCGAAGATCACCCCCGCCACCTCTCACTGGTTAGAATAAGAGGTGACGAGACGATAGCAGGGGAAGGGCCGAGCCGTATCGCTGTCGAGGCAAACATTAGCGAGGGGGGAAAGGAACGATTGATCGACTCGAAAAGGCCCGTCCGCATCCGCCTGTCCAGAAGGGGACCGGTCCACCACAGTCACAGAAGAGACCCACACACATACACCTGGGACCCCACACCCCCAGCCAACCAATGGAACGCTCCGGTTGATCCAATCACGTGCGGGGTGCAAAGGATCGCAGGTTTAAAAGGGTATCGCACAACCTTATAGTTAGGGCCAGGTCGCAAAGATTGTTGGGAAAAATTTAGATCAGGGCCTTTCGATACGTACCGCCTAACCTACCCGCTACAAAATGTCATCATACTAATCGTCTTGGTTTTAAATTACAAAAACCGGTTGAATAGACCATTCTTTTGAAAAGAAATAGACAAAATCACGTGTTTTATAACAAAAGGAGTACGACCTAATGATATTTTCCGAAGTTAAGACCAGCCAAGCTCAAAAATTGAAGCCTCCAAGCAGCAAAGTTAATTCCGAAGCACAAAGTATAGCAAAACACCTTGTTACTGATCGTAAATTAGATAATCCCATCATCACCCCTCGGCGATAGCACCATTAACCTACTTGTTCAAGAAGCAACACTTGGGGGCTCAATCCCCTCCCAGCCCCGATCCTCCTCCATCAATAAGGGCCGTCAAAAAGGTGAGGCCGAGGTCATCCTCCGGTTGGGGGGAGAGGAGAACGAGGTATTGAGGGCAATTTGGCTACGGAAAAGACACGGACACTAGCACCCGGCTGGCAACAATATTAGGGGATGAGAAGTGAGAATTAATGAAGTGGAACCTCGACTACGAATAGAAAAAAAAGGATAAAACGATGGTCTCATTGTGTTCTGGGGTGGGGGAAAGGAGGGTGGGTTATTTTTTTTTTTTTATTTAACCTCCCATAAAAAATTTAGTTTTTTTTAATATTTTTTATATTTTAAAAAAAAAAAAAAAAAATTAATAAAAAAAAAAATTGTTTAAAAAACCAAAAATAAAAATTTTTTCCCAAATAAAACGTAAAAAAAAATAAATCCCCTGTTAACAAAAAAGATAATACCAGGATTTCAAAAGGGAAAAAAGTGTAGGAATTGTTTTTAGAACTTTGTGGGAATTTGCAGGCATAATAGCATCGTCTAGATAATAAATAGAAACCAAGCGAAAACTCACGGCTGAGCGTCGAGACTCTTCTCCTGCGCCAAATAATTCGACGGAATATAGCCCGTCCGCCCGGTGGCTCGCGATCGTGCAAACCACCACTCTCCTTGAGTTCGGTCGACGACATCGAGCAGCTGAACACTTGTTGACACTTTAAAAACTTCTTTACCTCTCCCTTCCTGAAACTCAAATCATCATCTGTTCTGGCTTCATAGTCGAAGAGGGCAATGTGTGCTGGTTGAGGTGAGGGTGGAGGGCTGGGGTTCGGGTTTCTGAACACGATAAAGAAGAAATGGTAAAATGTTACCTTAGCGCTGGTACAGGTAGAGCTGACAATGGGCGCTGTGGTCCCTGCAATGCCACAGGCAACTTCTCGGGCAAAGCGGCAGCGCTGGAGACGCGCTCCTTGCCCACGCACGCGCCCATCAATGGTGCGGGGAAGACGAAGCGGGGCTGAAGATTCGCGCGGGCGCGCCGCACCCGACGAGAGGGCCGACGCGCAGAGATGGATAGATGCGCTGTGCGTGCGGAAGCCCCGCCCGTAGCCCAAAGGCTTTGTCAACTGTCCACAGCCCTCACCCACCACCTCCCCGCTCCCTGCGCGCGGGCCCCTTTCCGCAAAATGCACACGCGTCGACCGCGGGGGATATTGTTTCCGGTGCTTTTTCTTGCCCTGCATTTTCATCTCAACAACGCCTAGCGAATTAGCTGTATTGAACTTCAGCGCACAACAACTCAGAAAATCTTTCAAAAGATGGATAACAAATAACGATGTAACGAGGGGAGAGCAACGGGCCAGACGGGAGAAAAGGGAGAATGGAAATGATGTACTCGTAATCGAAGCGCCAGGGGTCGATGGGCTTAGTTGAGTTCCATCTCTTCCTGCTTGTGCTCTTGGGCCTGCTTCGCCTTCCTCGCCGTGGCCAGCGGGGCTTCGATGAGGTGGAGCTTGGTGCGGGCCTTCTTGATCATTCCCTTCTTGTTCACGATCTTGCCCGGTTGCTGGTTCTTCCGGATCTTGTTGGCATACCTGAAAATGTGGAATTTAAAAGGATCGTGACGATGAAAATTGTAAACCATTACTGCCAAAAAAATTCAACAACAAACCTTTTAGTTTTCAATTCGGCCACCGTCTTTCCAGCCTCGATGACCTTCTGCCAAAGTTCACGCTCATACTTGACTGGCTCATTGCGACGGGACTAGAAAAAATAACACTAAACTAAAATTTTTGAAACATACCTCCATTTCCTGCGTTGTATCGTTAACCAGCTCCTTCCCTCGAGCACGTCTAAAATAAAAACATTCCCAAATCATGAAAAATTCTGATACCTGCTGGCCTTCGTCCAGGCAACCTTCCTCGGGTTGCGCTTCTTCTCAAACAGTCGTCGGCATTTTGATCGGCAAAATCGGAAGACCTAAATAGAAATAAACGGAAATAGTCGACCGCACTTACGCTGGAATCATTTCTGACAAACATCATCCCGTGGCCAGGCCAGACCGTGGAGGAGCAAAAGTAGCACTTTTCCAGCCTCATGTTGTACCCTAAAATGAGATCGTTTATTTGGATTTATCAGCCGTTGAAAAGGACACCAGTGAAAACGTAATGAAGTAAAATGAGAACTAATCAGAAGAGGATGAAATAGGATATAAAAGATGTGATTGAGACGATAGATAGCAATCGCTGGCTTGGGAAATCTATTAATCCTCGTCGAGCGGGTTTTTCTCTGGAGGCGGGCCACACGGTTGGATCATTCGTTGGATCAGGTTGAATTTCGTCCGGGCTCGCGACTCATTTTCGATGACGGATGCGTAGGAGAGAAGACCCGGGTGTGCGATCAGTGAAGCGTTGGTGTCTCGGTGGGCGTTTGTCATGAATTCCCATCGCGTCGTGTCTGAATGACCGCATCCGGTGAACTTTGACTGGAGATGCTCGAGTTGGGCCAACACGTGGAAACGTTCTGTTGGGGCCGTCATCGTCTGAAATGGAATATCGGGGTTTGGAAGGGAAAAGAAAAGGAATGCTGAGAAAAGGGAGAAAAGATAAAGGCTCGTATCAAAGCAAACTATACAAAAAAATAGAAACTCAACCTTTTTGAATAATCCTAATCTTTTTACAAAGCTAAAAATACATAAAAATATAAAGCTTTCCAAAATTCCGCAGCGAAATTCCCAAAGCAATTCCTGACGTAATTCTGTACACAGGTGTATCACGGAACCAAATTCCAAAAGTCCGAATTTCTAAAAATGTCAAACTAAACAGCTTATGACCGTTTAGAAAAATTAAATATTCGAAAAACAAGATAGATCCATCTTTTCAAAGCATTTTCGCCATATTACGCCACAATTCGACGATGTGACATGAAAACGAGGGGTCCTCTGCTCGGTTAGCCAGCGAAAGAGCTGTCATTTGGATGGCGGGGCAGCCCGAGAACGCTCACCATATGTAATTTCAAATGCTAACACAGCCCAAATCGCTGAAAAAAAGCGCTAAAAACAAAAAAAACCAGCAGAAATTACCACAATGGACCAGCCATCAACTAGCCGGACATTGCAAGAAGAGGAAACTGCCGTAAGAGTTAGAATCCTGTCATATTTTGCTGTTTAGGGGACAAATAAAGTTTATTACGAGGGCGACAACGAGCTGATTTTGATGAATGATCATATTTATGTTACTGAGGAGGTTGGAGACGTTACGAGGCAACGACTTCTGTTTTAGGACGAAGAGGATGGCGATGAAAATACGATCTATCAGTACGACCCGGTTTCGTACGATACCTCGCGGAGTTATATGCAAGTGTATGAGGTTAGTATTTGAAGGTGGAAGGCAAATTTTTGTAGCTCTATCAACCCCTGGTGGAAGCAGGCACAAATGCGCTGGTTTGCCGGATATGCCTTCAAGCCGGGCAGCACAACAGTTTTGCGACCAGACAACAATTCCAGCATCACCGCTACAAATCACATGGCACATTTGCAGTCGGTTGAAATTGAGGACTTGAAAAGGAAATGTTTTAGCACAGTCTTCCATGCCCGCTCGTTGAATGCAGCACCGCTCATGCTTCCCTGCAGTCGCTGAAGAATCACTTGAAAGACGAGCACGACCTTCCGATCGAGACCCACCATCGCACGTTTCCTGATATGCAACGATTTGAGGTATAGTTTGCGCATGCCGTTCATTACCGATGGCTTTTCCAGCAATGGCGTCAGCTACTCGAGGGCGCCACTGGCTCGAAATTTGTGCTGCACAACAAGCAGCGGGAATCCAGACGTCAGGTGATTGTTCGTTTTAAAATTATGTGATTTTTAGGTTATGCACTGTGCGAGGAGTGAACACAAGAACGGGACGGCACCTAGGAAGATTAGGTGAGGCCATTTTGGGCTTCGCTTCAGTTCCACTTAGATCTTCGTATTAAAAAAAATTTAAAAAACATGTTTCAGGGCAAAGCAACTCGAAAACGGGCATCACATGTCCAAACAGGGCGCCTGTTGCCCGGCCCACATTTCGTATACCCTCGAAAAGGACGGGTAAATGATCAGGAGCTTGTAAGAATATATTTTGTGTTCAGCAGCATCGATGTAATCTACCAAATGATGCATGTGGGCCATGGGGCTTCAGACAGGGGAGCAGAAAACGATCAGGTATCTTGAAAGTTATATTGTTCGAATTAAGTTAATAATTTTCAGAACACCTCCGTGACGGCCGATTTTCGCTTGCCGCATAGGCCGAACTATTTGGGAGAGCAGCCGATGCAATTTTTACAGGTGAGTTTGGCAGAGAATTTTTAGAAAGTTTTTTTCTGATTTCAGATAGACATTGTTGAGATGAGCGTCTCGCTGTATGGAATGACGCGCTATACGCATGTGCTGCTGATCACGGATTTGAGAACGAGTAAAAAACTAAGCTTCTGACGCATCCTTGGTTTTTAGAATACATCTGGGCTCGCCCACTCCAAGACTTCTTCGACAGGAACCTCATCGTCCGCCATTTTGTCGATATTTTTTCGCAATTTGGAGTGCCTGGTCAGAATCGGCTTTTCGTTGTATTTTTTGTTTTTAGAGGGCTTCTCATCTTCAATGAATTTTGAGCTGGTGCGAGACGCGATACGGGTGATGAGCTACATTTTTAAGACTCAAATCGTGGAGATCGGCAACCAGGTAATTGACGATTATCTATTCGACTTCAATTTTAGACCCCCGATTATTTGACGTTCCGACGGACACTATACGACATGGCGGCCAATGAATTGAATAATCGGTTTGAGAACTAAAAAAAAATGTGTTTTTTTAGTGATCGCTGGGCCGAGCTGATCCCTTTCGCTTGCATGCAGTTGAACCAGACGGCGAGGGGTGGAGAGACCGTTCCATTTGAGGTTTGTTTAATACCGCTCTCATTTTACTGGAGTTTGCTTTATTTGAACTGTTTTCGATATCTATTTTATACCTTATATCTTTACAGTTGATGTTTGGTCGGACCGCTTTTCCTGTGGACGAAGAAGAATCAGTGGCGCCGGCTTGGCTGCTCCCAGCCCACGCACCGCCCACCATCGTTTTCCAGACTGGGGATAAGGTCTACGTAAGTTTTTTTTTCCTTTTTTTGGCCTTCTAATTCAAGACTTAGATGCGAAATTTTGACTCTACGTTGAAAGATTCGCGGAAGGAGGAGATACAGCCGGAAAATGTTGTGTTGGGTTTGGTTGGTAAGTTAATTTTGGCTTTGCTGAGGTTTTTATGTTGTTAGGAGACGTCGACTGGAGAAGACCGTCCTTTCCTTACCACATCTATTATTCGAGGGATCGTGAAAATCATTGGCCAGACCGAGGTGGGATTGAATTTCCGAGCTTTTTAATTGTATACCTTTACTGTTGCAGAGTAGAGTTTTGCAACCCTTCAAGTTAACGAATGTTTTTTTCTTAGATTGTGAGGCAATGTACGTGTCCGCGTTTGACTTGGCCCCCAGCTCGATTGAGCTTCTCCTGGCACGTGATGAGAGTAAGGAAATTTTCGGCTTTTCCATTTTTCTGTTTCAGATCGCCGCCAAATGCTACAAACACTGCTCTGTTCGTGTAAGGCCGGAAGTTCCGAAGAGCCACCATGCACGTTGGTACGGTAGGAGAAAACTTACATTTAAAAAATGTTTTTTTTAGGAGTGAACTGTGTGCGAAGGGAATGTCGCGGAGCTGCTGCGGGCGCACTGGTTCTTGTTGCTACCACGAAGAACTGGAGGCTGGGGCGGGAGAGACGTATTTTGTATGTATTTTATTCTATAAACCTTGACTTTTAATTTTTTTAGAAAGTGCAGCAAATCTCGAGAAAATATCGAGAACCGGGCGGTCATTCGATAGGCCAGAATGTGCGAAAGAAGCCGGATGTATTAAAGATGCCCGTGAAAACACGAAACGCGTTGGTTTCAAAAATTTAAAGTTTGTATAAGTAATTCTTTCAGGAAAGGAGTACCACGTCGAAAGGCTGACAATCTACTCTCCGTCGTCGTCGAGCCGATCCGGAGCCCAGCCAAGAAATTGGTAATAATTATTTTTAGTTTTTGATACAAATTTCTAGAGTATCCACGAGGAACCGCCCGAAGAATTTATTGATGTTGGAGAACCATTAGCCCCACCGCCAGAGGTTCGTATCTCCGTCTTTTTCGCAATTTTTTTTCTCCAGGATTTCGTCGACCGAAGAAAATCCCAACGATATGCCAGGCGGAAGCGAACATCTCATCACTAATTTATCCCAAAAATGAGTACAATAATAAACCCGATATCATTTAAACATGATAATAAAGGCAAAAATACAGCACATGAAAAGCCGGTGCGACCCGTGTTCGGTGGGGGAAGGGGGAAATGCGGAAGATCGTAGAATCTCATTGAGCACAATGACTAGATGGGGTGATCTGAAAATAAATAGGGGTAACTGCTTTTTGGTCTGTTAGTGGGTGGAGGTAGCGGGTTGTAATTTGCTGTAGTATTAAATGGGTGTCATCTGGACGCCTCGAACGGCCTCCAGACGTCGCTTTTTCTTTGGGGGATCGGTTTTGATTCGTCCTCCTCAGCTTCCGGCTCACATTTCCGCTTGCGCGAGCTGGTGGGAGTTATTGAGAGTTCAGGGATCGCTGAAAAAATATGTATGTATTAATAGGAAATCTACAAAACAATTAAAAAAATCGGGACTGAGTTACAACGATACCTGAAGCTTTTGGGAGAGGACTCGATGGCGGATGGGGTATAGATGGGGGAAGGGGTTGTCGGTGAATAAATGGCGATGGGGGGAGGGAAGAGGGCGACAGGAAAGGCGTCGAGCGTGGCGAGAATAGTGCCTGAAAATGTGTTATTTGTCATATTATATTTTTCTTAGTTATACTTTGGCTTTAGGATTTAAATTAGGAATTTCAGGGTGAAAAAGCTCATGCAACAACCTATATCGGCGAGCTCGAGGCCGTGGTCGTGGATGAACTGCTCGATGACGTGCTGGTTATACTGAAAAGGTGAGTTTGTGCAACATGCGGCATGCAGGGAGGAGAACTAGTGGAGGATCTTTAAGAAATAGAAGGCATAAAAAAAGATAATAGATTCCATAAAAACTTTCAAAAATCTTTAGGAAAGCTAATATTTTTGAGGGTGTGGCGGGCCAGCAGAGATCCCCGAAGAACGATAGTGGCAAGCTAACAAGGTTCATTGAGGAAACAGAAAGTCAAGAAGGTTAGTGATTGTTAAAAGTCCATTTCAAAGGTATTTTTAGGAAAAACTAGAAAATTCGAAGGCGTGGGCAAGCTGGCAAAGGATATTGAGGAACCAGGGAATTTCAGGAAGGTTGGTGTTTGTTAAATCTCAGTTTTAAAGGCATTAAAATTACCTGAAGTTGTAGATGGTAAAGCTGAGGGAGAATATGAGGAATCGGTAGCGGCATTGGATGGCCTGCCGTTTGTGGGGACGCAAACGGGATCGTCGCGTAGGGGCTCAAATATCCGGGTGGGGTGTCCCATGGGGATCTTCTGAAAATATATCTATTTTTTCGAGATTTTGTCGGGTTACAGTGTTTGTTAGTCAAAAATTTCCAATTAGCAAAAACGTCATTAGTACTGTTGTGAAGTTAGCTTAATAATTGATTGTTTTCGAAGCTATAAGCGTGAAGAGCGTTACGTTGGTGGGCTGGGCGGCTGCTCGATGAAGGAGGCTTCGCTCGACGTGTCCGATGAGGCGTCGCGTGCGCGTCGCGGTGGGTAGGGCGCGGGGCGGCGTCGGCGTTGGTTTGGGATACGATGACTTTCGCCACTTCTTCTGGTATTGGCAGATGGACGGCCGGGCCTCGGGCCATCGCATGTCACCTACGGGTTGGGTTATCGGCCATGGCTTTAAAGGGACTGGTCAACAAAACCTGTAGATTTTCCTGATTTACATAAATTTTTGTAGTTGTTAGCTTTTTCCACTTCCCAGTCCGTTTAAATGTGCCAGATTTTTTTTGTATGTTAGCACAATTTTTGTAGCATTTCAATACGTTTTATTAAAGGCCTCTGGAAAGATGGGATTGGTCAAAAAGCAAGAAGGAATGCCCCGGACGGGGGTCGAACCAGGGATGGTCCTCTCCGCAGTCCAACGCGCTACCCCCACACCAAAGGGGCCGAGTGGGTGGGGGCGGCGGAGGGGCCCCAAATACCCTCGGGGCGGATTGGTGCGCTTTACTGGGCAACAATTGAAAATAAGGCTATTCATAAATAATAATAACGAAAAATGCTATAGAAAAGCTTGCTAAAGGAAAGCAAAGTACTCCCAAAAATTTCCTGGTGTGTTTTATGCCTTTACTGACGATTTTTCAACTAAAGAGCGTCCCAAAAACCTCTTTCCGCTCAGAACATGGCTGTCTTCTATCCAATCAGCCTCAAAATTTTACCAACGATGGGGATGGCTAAAAACTATTTCTATGGAAGTTTCTGGCCCAGAATATCGTCAATCAAAAAAGTTATAGCTATAAATCTGTTTTCTTGAAACCCAGTCGGGGGCTTTGGGGGCCCTTACGCGATGGAAAGCGTGCATGGTATCGCCCCGTCGGTCCCTCACCCCTGGGGACGCCCGGCCATCTTTCCAACGGTCTTTAAGTGCATGCGAGTGAGGTGTTAGTGCAAAAGTGAGTACATTCCCATGCTAATTCCGCCAATTAGCAGACCTGAGAAGTGGGGATCGTTCGCCGGGTTTTGGCCTCGGATCTCGCGGCCCGTCGACGGTCACCTGCGCCACCCGGTTTTTATTTTTATTTTTAGGTCTCCCTAGCCAAACAGTATTTAAAATTATTTTTTAGAATAATAATTTAATTAGCTAGTGTTTTTGCATCAAAAACCAACCTTTATCGCCCTGCCCACCATGGCGATCTGCAGCGGGTCGGTGTGGATGACGAGGGTCAGGTCGAATTGGCGGCCTGGAAAGCGGGTTTTGGAAAGTAGTTTTCACACGCAAAATCAAGCGTCTCAACATCGCGTTGCGGCGGCCACGGGCCGCAACGCGACTGCTACGCGCTAAACCGTCGTGAAAGAGCTAAAAATCCATGCTTCATAGCCGGAATTCACAATTTTTTTGGGTTGAAAACTTTAAAATTAGATTGTTTTTCGGGCTGAAAATAATTCTCTTAGTATACCTTTTGACACTCTACCGGATAGCACTTGGGAAATCTGACTGTTGTGAAAAATTTGAGACATAAAGGCTCCCCCGCTAGCCTATGTATACGGCACCGCGTCCACCGCCAAATTCCCCCACCGTCAACTTTCGAATGCCGCAAACTGCCGACTTTCCCCCCTCTCCCTCAGTCATTTGTAGATGTAGAGGTTAGATGAGCCCCCCGATCGCTTCCTGTTTTTCCCTCCCTCCACTCCTCGCGTCTGCCGTGCCATTTGAGGGAAAGGGCCGCGGTAAGGCGGTTGGCAGCAGCAGCGGAAGGGGGGGGGGGAGATTCCTATCTACACAACTCTTCTTCTTCTTCTACCGGGCTTTTTCTCCCTTTTCAACCGGCGGCATCGACCAGCCACCACCCATTTTCCACCCTCAAGAAAGGCGCCAAATCGTGTGCACCGTCGTTTTCCTTTTTTGTCTTTAGGGGGTGGGCAGGGCCAAAGTGCAGCCGCCGAGCCGCAGAGCTTTGTTTGTGGGTTGGGTCAAAGGGAGGGAGGGCGGGAGTGGTACGGTAGTGCGGGAAAAGCAGAAAGGTGAAAATTAATTGATTGGATTGATTAGCAAAAAATCGTACTTTTTAAATGGTTATAAATCTGGTTATTCAGGTTATTCAGGAATTTTCTGGCTGTGAATTATCTATGGAGTTGAACTTCTCGTGAAACGAACACGCACAAAATTTGGTTAAATTTGTTCCGTTACGCCGTTAAAGTCCGGGAGATCGCTTTGCGTATCGCGGCGCGGACAAAACTAGCAAATAGATTTGGCCGTGTTCGAGTTTTCAACGACTTGTCGAACTTTTTTTGCCGATGCGGATGCCCCCGATCAAGCCCCGGATCTTTATTGCTCTGCTTGTCCTCCTCCTCCCTCCACTTTTTAATGAGCCGTCCACCACCCGAAAAAACGCGGCATAAATTTTTTTGCGGCTCGATTTCGTTGAGGGCGACAGGTGCCCGCTTCACCGGGCAGCTAGCTAGCAGGGTTTCTTTAGGGGCTCCAAAAATTGGGCCCGCTAAAACGGCCTGGTGTTCCAGCGCGACACGAAACGTACCCGCTACTTCTCAGTTCCGTAAAAATACCGTAACCGATTAAGCAATGGAAATTGGGACGCATTGCGTGTCGCCAGCGCGGCAAAGCCTACAATAAATCCCGGGGAATAAAACCCCTAACCAACCCCCTGCCCGTCCCTTTAATGCTCTGAATTCCGCGCATGTCCGCATATCCATAAATGTGAGCCGCGATGCCGAAAGATGTCGGCGGCCGATAGAATCCACCCCCATAACCTGAGGGCACGGCCAGATCTTCGACATGTCTGCGTCTCTCGATTCTGCCCACTCTCTCGCCCCCACCATTCCATTCTATAAGATGACATGCAGATCGTGGTGTCGATACCCTAGCCAGGGGAGCACCATGAGATGCTCCACAACCACCCCATCCCACCAATTAACATCCATCCACGATGCGAAAGAGAGAGTGAGAGAGAGAGAGGGAGAGAGAGAGAACACAGATTGCAGGTATTGACAAAAAATTAATGAGACGAGGTAATGTAAGATTTTGACAAAAAATACGTTTTCCTCGCGGCACTATCGCTTTAAAGTATCGAATTCTAGGCCCACCTCTACCACTTTTCCCGACGAAGCGAAGATCGCTAAATTTTGCGCACTGACGCTTAAACTCGGACTGAGCGTTTCGGATCTCGCCGCACGGGGCTTCTTCATTTCCGGCATGGACGGTTATCTGAAAATTGAGAGAATAATAACGTAATGGTTGGCAAAGAATCTCTGTTAGCATGCCTTCATTTTTGTGGAATTCTAGTCTTATGAATAGTTAATAAGGGATCTCGGCTAACTTGCCTTTGCCTTTAATTTCAGCAAAAGGGAAATTTGGCTAATTTTGAAGATTGCCCAACGTTTTTTGCTTGCTTGCCCGGAACTTCGAGACATTCATTGAATTAAATTAAAATCGGCCAGAATCTCTGCTAGCTTACCCTTGCATTCAAAAGTTCTCTGCTAGTTTGCCCAGAGTTTGGGCTACTATTTGATTACGATCCGCAAGAATTCCCGCTTGATTGCCCTCACATTCAAAAGAGCTCTGCTTGATTGCCCCAAATCTCGACCATTTGTTAGAGATCCGCAAGAATCTCTGCTAATTTGCCCTCGCCTCCACAAAGATCTCCGCTAGTTGGCCCCCAAAATTCCCCACCTGTTGACCCCTATTTTCTTCAGCTCAAACTTTGTATTATTGCCCCCATATAGCAGACCAAGCGTCACGTCGTACCCCCTCCATTTTAGCGTAAAACCACCGGCCCATCAGAAAGGCACATAATTTGCAAACGTGCCCTCCTCCCCCTCACGCGCCCTCCTTATCAGCCCCCGCAGTCAAAACCACGAAATTTTAGCTTAAATCGGGCCCCCATAAAACCTCGGAAATCCCTGGGGTGTCTTTGCTCGCTCAATGGGGGTATTTTGCCAGAAACGAACAGAAAACAGGCTTCATCAATCAAGCAGGAAAAGGAAAAAAATGTGAAAAATATTACCTTTGTGCCATCGGGTACGGGCATTAAAGAAAGGACGGTGAACGGGATTTGTAGTGATTTGTTGCCTGAAGAGGGGGATTTTAAAAGGGCTTTAAAGATCCAAAAATAAGCCGTAAAAAGTTTTATGACGTCAAAAAGCAGTAAAAATTACGGAATAATTTTTTCGTAAAATAAATAAACCCCGTGAGAAGAACTACATCATTTTTGCAGTCAATAGGAGCCTCGTGTAGCATTTATACTTTTATGAAAACGTACTCCGCCAATGCTCGGGCAGCTCTGAGGTGAGGATATGGGGTTGGGCCCGGTGGAATTTGATAGACGGCGCTTTTTGGAGGTGGTCGCGCACCATTTGGAGGGCCGCCGTGATCGACATTCCTGAAACGAAATATAGTGAGAGAGAGAGCGAGAGAGTGAGAGAGATTGCGAGATAGAGAGAGGGACCGACAACTTTAATATAAAGCTTATAAATCGAAAAAAACAGCGAAAATCTGGCTGAAAATTGGTAAAAAATCACCGTAAAAATCCATTAAATCCTGCTCAGATATCTGGATGGGTATTAAAAAAGCACTCCGAACATCAAAATGGCCCGGACGCTGTATGAATTTACGACGTGGTCGCGAAACGCAACGAGCACACGCCACATTTCATTGCGTAATTGATTAAACTGTTTTACGGCGACGTAGCGACAGACGCGTGGCGTGTCGCATGGCGCGGCAAAATCCCTTACCTTACCCACCCCTTTAAAATAGCTACAAAACCCCCCTAGCCCCCTTCCCCCCACCTCATTAACTCGTTCCCTTTTTTCACGCAAGCGCGCCAAAAATGTGTTGACAGCCGGGTGGTCGATGAGGTTAAAAGGCGAGGGAGAGAAAGAGAGATACAGAGAAAGAACAGGGCAATTAGGAGAGCAGAGAGAGAAAAAGAGTGAGTGAAGAGGCCCCGTTGCGTTGCCATTGGACTGTATTTCACGTGAGGGAAGGGGGGGGGGGGAACGGGGCAGATTTGGCAACGAGATGCCATCGAGTTGTGGGGGGAAAACGACTTCAGTTTACTATAGGCGCGGGAAAGCCTTAGTCGAGGCTTAGTATGCGCTTAAGCCTAAGCCTTAGCCTAACCCTAAGTCTGAGCTTAGGCCTAAGCCATCTGTCTATCTAAGTATATAGCCTATCTAAGTCTCATGAAGCTTGGAATGGCGTCTAAGCCGAAGCCTAAAACAAGCCTAAGAAACTGCAGCCTTAAGCTAAACAAGCCCAAGCCCAAGCCGAAGCCAAGTCTAATCTAAGCCCAAGTCTCAACCCTATAGTCCAGCTCAGGCCGAATCTAAGACTACGCTCAAAAAGCCCCTATTTATGCCGAAGCACTTAAGCCCGCGCTCAAACTCTAAATAAAACTAAGCCTACTAAACCCTAAGTTAAAGCTCCGCTGGTCGGCTAGCAACGAACATTGGGGAAATTAGACGGACGAAACAAGGAGGAAAACCGGATAAAAAGATGAGCAGTACAGCAAGGATCATTGGGGAATTTTGCAATAACCGGAAATTTTTAACTATAACGTATAACAAAGATCATAAGGTTGAAGGTAAAAACGAGTCCCGAGGCAAGCCAGAAGAGTTCGTTTGAGAACTGGTCAGCCAGCTGGCACGATCCCTTTAAACTTGCGGTACCTGCGGACACGAGCGGCGAGCCATAATCTACCAGATGCCCCGAAAGGGGGGAGGAGGACTCTCCTCGGTGTGGTCGAGGCAAAAGAGGGGGGCGGTACGCTTTGAGGAATGGGAAGGGATACGGTAACCGCCCGCCTCTCTCTCTCTCTCGCTCTCTCTCTCTCCGATCCACCTAGAGGAGGAGGAGGAGGAGGAGCCATACCCCATTCCACAGCTCATAACAACTTATGCCGCCCAAAGGCCTCAAACAAGACCAGCACACCACCCCCCAATATTCTCCTGACAAATCGACCACCTGGAGAGCCGGGGAAACTACATAGGCTTCGACAAGGGACCAGCATTAACTCTTAAAGGGGCCGGCAAGGCATAGTTATGGATTTATGACAAATTTTGCATAGATTAATGTACGCAACGCGCATGCTACGTAATCCGCAACGCACTGCAAGAGGGAGGCGTACGTGGCGTGTCGCGGCACCGCCAAATTTCACCTTACTTATTCCTTTTTTAAGAGGTCGGAAAGGTTTATCCTTCTAAAAGACCGTCGACACGCGACGCCTGGCGGCCGTGAGCGGAATAAATCGATTACGCCACATAAAGCGAGCGCGTGCGTTG